GTCCAGTTTTATGATCAATAAACTGGCCAGTAGTTTAAAATAAGTGAGCGTGCACTCGTCATCCAGCTGATCACTAGTTCATTACTCTTAAACTAAGAACACCTCCCTTCCTCTGACATACTGCTTCTTGATCTTTTTGTCCTTTTCGCCTCCCTTTTTTGTGTCGTTTTGCCTGCCTACACAAAAAAATTCTGTAGCTTCAGCAATGATAATTCCTCCTCATCATGAATTCGATCGGTAAAATCCTTTAACCTGACCCTAAGATAGTTTTTGATCCAAAAAGCACAGATCCACAACCGCCCAAAACACATCACTGCAGAATAACGATTTCTCGGAATACGATGGAAATACGATGGAATACGATGGAAGTTGGATTAAAGCTGAGTAAAAAATTGCCTTCTAGGAACTGGGAAATTCATCTGTCCATTTGATAAACTCGAATCAAACCAATGTTCTTTTTGTCCCTATTTCAGGTTACATATTACTATTTATTCTTTCACAATGCTGAACGTCAGACCAGAACCTACTTACTCTTCTGTTCGCAATCCTAGGTTACTCTGTTTACCCATTTTTAGCACTTTTTACTCCCCCTGCTCTAGTGGTGACCTTCAGGTTACTAGGAATGTAAAGCTTGCTAATGAATTTGCTCACAGTCATTGGTATTCCGGGTTCGTATGTCGTAGATTGTTGCACTATTGCTCGTCACTGCTACATTCTCATCGTCCACCATCCTGGAACTTATGCAAACCCTTTTTCCGTTGCGGTTCGCGTTTGTTGCCACTAACTTGGTTGTACCATCCGTAATCCTAATCGTATCCACACCGCCAACGAAACCGCATTGTTTAAGACACTGCGAGAGTACTGACGGTCGTGTGTTTACGCTAGCCAAGTCTGATTGTTTTTTAAGCCACTATTACATCGTTCCAGCCGTGGCTTTAACCAGCCGATCTAAAGGAAACTGACACGTAGATGCGCACCGATTTCCTCACCCAGTCGACTAGTCGGCCTTCATTTCTTCCTGTTTGATCATGCTTGATGAAATTTGTGGCTTGACCTTAGTCGACATAATGACGCGACCAAGTGGTTCAGATGTAAGGGGGTGAAACTCCGGCGTCGCCACCTCATATTGTCAGAGGAAAACACACACAAGTCACTAACTGGGTTACATCAAAGCGAATTCAACAATCGTGGTGGCGAGTGTGCGCGAATCGATAGGAAATGGGCAATCAATACTGTTGGTAAAAACGGTGAATCAGTAAAGTCCTGTGAGAAAAACATCAATCAATAATAGATAGTGTCCGTTGAAGGAGATCATCTGGTGTTTCATGTTCGTATAAACATGCCTAAGATGGTTTTAGTGACCCTCGGGCTAGTGACGTCAAGTGATTCTTTTTGATCTCTCCACAGCGTTATTGTTCAGGACTCTGAGATTTTTTGAGCCAGTGTTGAATGGATAAAACTGAACAAGGTATTTCAAGCGACCACCCAGTTATTTTCAACATGGGTGATAAAAATGATAAGAATTTGAATCTGGCGACCCTGGAGCAAATGGAAAACTGACGAAGATGACATTCAATTTTCTGGAGTCTACGACATCACAACCCTCTGATCAATGCATAAATCTAGCCAAGAGTCCACCGTGAAAGATATCAATTATTTTCAAAACTGGATGAAGAAAAACCCCAGGGACGAAGCATTTGTAAAAAGGAGTAGGTAATGGAAGAATTGTCATGTTCTGAGAATGTAAAAAACGAAAGACTGTCACCGGTTTTTTTTGACAGACTACACTAATCACAAAGTTACTGAAAACTCTTCGAATTCCCACGGCCAGTTTTACTTATCTTGAGGTTCTTCAGATACCCGACGTTTCTTCCACACTTACTTTCTGCTCAAACATGAAGGGAGACACAACCGAGGAAGTGTACTGGAATATCTCGAAAATCGTTCCAGCTGGTGCATCACTGTTCAGTACATACATTTGGAGAATATCATGTAGAGTTTCAGCAGGGAATCGGTTGAGTCGTTCGTTAACACAGCCTTAAGTTGCAAAAGAATGCAACAGTCTCCTTGTTTGAGTTCTGTCGACATAAAACCAATGAGTCTGACGCCAGCCTCTGCCAACCGCTCTGTACTGTCAGCTTCTTTTTTTGTCACTTTTTTTCAGAAATGAATGGCGGCATGAAAACAAAGTGATTTGTAGCAAATCGTACTTTCAAAATATTTCCTCACCAGTGTGCACCAAAAGCTTGGGGATCAACTCACATCCGTTGTTAGTTAACTCCAACTGATTGGCTATCGATACTTGTCCTCACATCCGTACAACCGTCCAGCCAAAGTGATAACCTTAACATGCACCGTACGCGCAGTCACTGGACAAGCCTCCGAGACTAGCTGTTACAAGCGAGCGCGCGCGTGCGAATATGCATGCAAGAGTGTGACCCGAACTGGACAGCATCTAGTCCTTTTTCTAAACAAAGATCTTGATCCCTTCGAGCATGCTATCCCCAAATGAATCATTCTGAATGGAGGTTCACCTTGTTAAAGTTGACCAGTGGAACGTCGTGTTCCAAATTAAAAACGATATCTACTAATAGAAACCGTCTGTTTGCGGCTCAGTCCGTCCGAAATTTAGTCTTGTTTTGGTCCGTATAACTAGTCCCCACTTCATAAATTCTGTGCAAATGTGAATGAATGAAACTGCCCTTCAACCCCGAGAAATTTCAATACTGATATTTTTATTTAGTAGCTAATCGCTACTGAAAAATCCAGCGGTGCAACATCCCAAAAGTGGTCGATTGGCAAACGCGAAATATTAGTTATTGCGTTTTTTAGCCTCTCTTGAAAAGCGAACTGTATGCGTTAACACTTGTTCCAATCCACGTTTATGGCGCTACGTACCTGATTGGATAAATAAGGATCCTGATAGTTCAAACGACGTCACAGCTATGATTGCTCCAGAAGGAACATATCTTGAGATTTGTTATCGGTAAGAAATGCAAAATGGGCTTCGATTTAAGCAGCCAGTGATTTGGAACTCATGGGAACTTTTAATACGATCTTGAAGATCTTCCAAACAAGTGACAATCTTTTGTCAGGGTCGAAGAAGCCGCATCGGCACAGTGGGTTGTCCACAACGGCATTTCGCAGGAGTCCTTCCTTAACCCTGCACTTTCCCTAACATATCTTTGTTTCTCTTCACGAACATCTATTTTCCATGCCTGAAATACTCGGATGATTGCGGGAAGACAGAGGTGGTGAAAAACCGGACTTACGTCAGATGGACACGGACCATCTCACCAGATTTCCAAAACAGTTGTGCCTACGCAAAGATGTGCATCGTACATCCACGCATCAGCGGCGAGATCGCAATAGAATCCATTTATCTCTATGGAACCCTACTAAGGTTATCGCGATGTGAAAGGGTTCGTGCATCATAGTCATGAATCCCGGTGAGAACGGTCTTTGTGAATCGGGTTTATGAATTGGTCATGGGTATGATTGTTTGCTTACGTAGGTCTTTCACTAAGCTTACAAAAGTAATTTCTATTATCCTCTTACCACACAATAGAGTACGGTGGGTGTGCAACATAAACCTCTACATCGGAAGAATTACAGCAAACAGTGAGTAAAGTATAACAATGTTTAGTGCTTCGGTGGCAAAATGTGGGGAATGAAGACAGCTTACAGTTCTTGAATTTATTCTTCCAATACTGTCACCCTTATGGAGATGGCTTGATTATTCTCCGACGAGTAACGCGAAGAGACTTCGGAGTGAGGTGCCAACCGACTTGCTACTGTGCAACGATGACCGAGGAAAACAGCACGGCATCGTTCTTCAAAATCTTATAACCAACGAGCCCTACGTGACCTTTCGGTTGTTACGCATGACGTTGATATCTGGAACTAGCGGCCAACTGTCGCTGTAGAAGAGTTTTACGTTAGTAGTTTCAAATACACATTGGATAAACACACAAAGGGTATGAGGCATTGGACTCAACAGTAACTGCTGAATGAAGATTTGTGGCTCAAATTGTTTTCTCACTGCCCTCTACTGATTAATCACTGAAGGCGTTTTCCTGGTACCAAATTAACCTCTCCCACACCACAGTCTGACAAGAACGTCTAAACTGTTACTTTATCTACTGAATCCACCATTGTTTGCTTACACCCAAAACTAGGAAAAGCGGTGCCTTAATATGAGGTCTCACGAATTCAGAACCACTCTTCCAGAAAGGCGAACAACTTTTTCGCTAAAAAGTAAGGGACAACGTTCTTTTAGTTGGTTTGCTTCGTTTGTTCCTACTGAGCAAGAATCATCCTAAATGCCTGTGGCAGATAGACGTTTTCCGAAAGGGTAAAGTAGTGGGTTGCGTCCAAATCCAATGGGGTGTGACTGAGTGAAGTTCTCGCTTCTGTCCGTCCATTGGCTAACGTTCATCCGCAAAAGAACAACTGGTTTTTCCAACTTATTCATGGTTGCGATCGTACCGCAGTAATGCATGCTTAAACATGGAATTTATTTGCTTGCAGCACACCTTTCTGGTAAGTACTTTCTTCCTCAAGATGACCTGAATGAAGGATAGCTTCAAGTGATCTTCCCTGACCCGATGGGGAGTATAAAATACACAATTTTCGACCGACAAAAAACGTTGAATGGTTTCTATGAGCTTCAAATAGTTATTTAAGGTTTGTGGTGGACTAGAATCGCCAACCATTCAGCAATCTTGCTTTCCCTTCACTGGGACTGAACACACCGTCGTAACCATTACTCTTTGTAATGTCGGTTATTTGGGGGCCAGGTTTTTTAAACTGCGGTTGACCGTAACAGCGACTGGGGATGCCCGGTACACACACAAACTATTTTATCATTTATTGTTTTAATGTCGGTTATTTGGGGGCCAGGTTTTTTAAACTGCGGTTGACCGTAACAGCGACTGGGGATGCCCGGTACACACACAAACTATTTTATCACTTTATTGTTTTTTTTTCAATCTCAACAGCTGTATTACCAGTTATCGTGGAACCCGATGCAATATACCTATTCCTTCCGTCGAGCGAACCCAAGGAGACCATGGGGGAGGTTACCAAGACGAATTGCACAGTTGTAAGGCAGGTAAGTAATTTAGCTCAAAAACTACAGGCAGAACTTACGACGGTATTCCCCGATGGGTGGTCGGGTTCTTTTTTGATTACTCGACTTTTCACCACAAAAGTGAACTGTAGCTGCAGTCGATCGCAATTATGTGTCAAAAATTGAGTTGTCGGACGTAACCAACGCACGACTTTAGGTTGAATGCAATTTATTATCCATAACCTGCTGTATATTTAGCGACTGATAAGAAAGTTTCGACTAAAGCAATGCGAATAACTACCTCACCTCAGTATTAATGGTTTGGACTGCTACAAGTATATACATTCACTCGGTAAAATATAATTATTGTCAAAGTTAGCTTACCAGCGATGTGAAGTAAATTCTGAAGAGTTTAAATGTGCTTTTGAAGTAACACTGACGCCCAAAGGATGGTAAATGTCAACTGAGGCACTTGGGGAGTTCTAGCTATCCAACGCGAATGAAATATTGGGTTTTGGCACGGTAATGCAAGAACATTCAGACCGTATTAGAGAAAAAAATTCTGGTCACTCTGATAGAAGCCAAGTTTATCAGTTTTAAAGGTACTGCAAAGGCCAGTAAGCAGATTTATCTGTTTTTTTCCGTAGTGAGGAGTAATGACATATGCCAGGCCTCATTTTATGGTGCTTTGTTGGAACCGACGCTGATAGAGTCTCTCTGAAAGGATAATTTCCCCAAAATACAGATCATATGCATCTATAATCTAAATAAACGGTAATGTGTACGCCTTTGCTTTTCTATCCACTATTTCCTTAATGGTGAAGTCTAGCAACAAAATAGTCATAAAACGCAAGCTTTCTAGATTATAGGCTATCGCTATCATGTGTGAAAACCTGCGGTGCCTTGCACGAACCGGTTAAATCCTACCTCTAAAGTATTCTTTGAAAACTCTGAAGTGGAGTGCACAGATGTGACTTTTCAAAACAAAAGTTGAAATGTAATCCAATAATCTGTTGCAATCCGTTCTTGATCCCACTCCGAATGCTAATCCGTGATCTTAAAATAAGTTTTTACGAGGATTTGTTTTTGTTTCACCTATATGCTTATAACTAAAGGAATACGAACATGTTCTTTTAGCTTGAAAACTGTTGAAAGTATTCTTTGTGTTTTTGATGAGCGTAATATCTGATGACCTTATGCATTGCAGGACATGAGCGAAGAAAGAATTCATGTTATATGGCATATAGCAAGGTTGAGTTTATCTACAACAGCTAGGCATCGTTCTAGTGTGGATCAGTCATTCACCTAAACTTTTTTGTTTCCTCAGAAATTGCTCAAGTTCAGAATCGGTTCTCAGGTATCATAACAAGATGGTGTTTGTATGATGTAGCCAAGAGATTAAAAAAGTTATTGCGAACGACGTAATCTTGCGTCGCCTCACGGAGAAACTTGGAATGTTTCGGTTGCTCTGTATCTGCTGTGTAATAGCTGACACATTTCACAACCTTTAGTTTTCCTCCTAACTGAGATAATCGAGTCTCAGTCAGAGTGGGTTTAGTACCCCAGTCTAGCATGCGCAGTCGTCCAAAGCCAAGCACATCCAAATTGCAGTTACTGCTACTCACAGATAGCAGCACAGAATAGAACTGATCAGCATATCTCCACTAGAGTGTTCAGGGTTGTACTTGGTCTGTTCTGAGACGCCATTTAAAATTTTTCCAAGTTCATATTACAATATCACACCGCAGGTGAATGTATACCTGAATGATTCCACCAAAAACGGTTGCCTTCTTAGGGTTCGTGTATTCGAATGCTCGTCAGGTAAGTAAAAGCTGTCCAAGATTTGCGATGATGTTCCGGGTAGATTGAGCTGAGTAGTACAAGGGCACCAAGCGTTCAAATGTCAGCCACCACAATGAGTGTGAACTAACCTCGCCTTACAACATTCACGTCTACTCTCAGCTGACAAGGATATGATTGTGAACAAAATTAAGTAAAAGCACTGTCAGTTAATGCTGTTATGTTACATTCAAGGAAGTTGTACCTATCAGTTGGACAATTGTGTTCAGTGTCATATTGTTCTAAAAGCTAGAATATACCCCGGAAAACATTTTCTCATAAAACACGCATCCGTTCAGGCGGAATAGTGAACACTGAACTAAGACCTCTGACAAGTTCGTTATATATCCGGTCATTGCGTGACCATGAACAATTGGGTGTTTTCATGCCGGTTCTTTAGGTGAAAACGTCAGCGCTGAATACCACTACAACATTCTGTGGCAATTTGTTTGCACGGGCACTGGTGAATGTAGAAAACATGTTTATGCATTTGTTATGACAACAGTAGCTGACAACATCCGAAGTTACTAGACCCTGACACGTGCACACGTACACTTACAGAATGAAATGTTAAAGGCTTTCGTCTATGCCCATTTTCTTTCTGAAAGTGTTCTAGTTGTCTGCCAACAGTTTGATCGACTTTGTTGTCAATTGGCTACTAATTGGCGGCAAAACACCCACAGGGTTCGTGATTATAGGATCAGCTGGTCTATTACTTTATTTTCCTGACGTGACTCTCTTCTAATTGGACTAATATGAACCAGGGACAACCACCGGTGAACAATGCCCACATGTATGTGCGTCTACGGTCAAAGTTGAGCTGTACAGCAGTCCCCCTACGAAAAACAGTTGTGTGGTACGGTGCCGGCTCAGTTTGCACCGCGGACAAAACAGGAAACAAAGTTACTAACACAAAAAGGTGTATGTATCGGCTGTGTGTAATTTTCATTAAGTGTATGACTCAAATAGATGGAATGAACATGTGCCTCAGAGTAACAAGTAGCAGAGGAAAATGGATTCGAACATGTCAATCTCCCAAAAAAACAAAACAGCAGATTGATTTGAATCTAAACAAAAAACATCTGTGTAACTGTTTAAAAACCTCTGCTAGAAACTAAAACGAATTCGTTGTCAGAAGCCAGTGCAGTTCTTGACTCAGAGGCTGTTACTAAACTGATCCAACTAACTGAATAAGTCCATTACTGTCCTATATGAAATCGTGTATCGCTTCTGGTGGTCCTGTAATGTTTGTTCACTTTTTCGAGAAAACTGGCGAACGCTGCCTATGGTTTATGTGCAGCGCTGGACATAACACTCACGATCTGAACAAAAATCTGAAAAGTTACATCCAGCTTTAGCCGTTTTCTCAAGCTTCCGTTTTACAACTCATCAAGATTAGGGGAATCAAATCTGCGTCATCAAAACACACCCAGTCTTACCCCCTAACTACACAGTGTGTGATTCTGTACGACCCTCAATCGCCATCTCAGGTCGATCGATAACCTTTGAGTCCTGTTGAATTACTGTGCTCCAGAGTCTGGTTATTCCTCAACATACAGAGTATTAGTACTGTACATGACCAGCAGAATTTATGACTATTGCATGTTAGCAAGCTTATGGTCACTTGAGTACTAAGTCACTGAAAGCACGTTTGCGTTGCATTCAGTTCGACGGATTGTCCCCTTTTAAGCGTTTGGTGTCAAGGTTAATACTGAATGCAACAACTCTTTTCACAGGCTGTGAATCCACTATGGCACGCATTCTTTTGATTTCTGCCATTGGTGTTCTCCTCATTCTACTGGTCGTACTATTGTTCTGCTCCATTTTTCAAGTTTGGTAAGTCAGCTTTCTTTACGTGAGTTGATTATTGTTTTTTATTTTGTTCTGTTTTCGGATACCCCCAGCTTGCAGTAGCTTTCTAAAAGAAGACACCGCAGTAAAGGGGGTTTCCTTGGACTGGACCTATCTTTAACTCAGAATAACGGAAAACCTATTATTTTCCTTCAAGTCGACCAGTTGTCTTTCAGGAGAAATGTTTCCCACTCCAGCATTAAATTGACTCAGATCCTGTTCATCACGTTGCTGCACACATAAGCAACAAACCAGTGGATGCAGTTCTTGAACATCAGTTGACTATCGCTTTGTTAATTTTGATTGGATAGAACTAAACGTATCTGCTTCTCTCAAGCCATATATGAGGCCAATTGTTACCTGCTCATATGCAAGCCCATCCCAAAGAGATCGATCGTTATCGATCCAGCCGCAAACCAACAAACCTGAAGAAAGTACAGAAACAATGATTGATCTGAAATGTGGCCGTTCATTATTTTGCTTAAACTGGGGTCGCTGTCGTGTGTAACACATTCACAGGAGTGTTAACTCGCGAGACTAATGAAGAATAACTCCCCCTGGTGAGGATACAGATAGCAAACGTTTTCATCCACTTGTGGTGGTGACAAGAAAACATTTAAAAATGCCATTGGACACAAAAGCCGTTTTCTTAAGTGCTAATCTTTTTTTTATTTTGACGACAATGTTGCTAGTTGAATCTGGAATGTGTCGTAAGTTAGTTTGCAATGGGAGAGGGAAAATAGATGTGCGATAGCATTCAAACTAACCTCGAAGACGAAGTGTTCTACCGTCATAGAGTAAGGGATAAAAAGAGCAGATGTAGCGAATTGGTTCACATTCCAAATAAGAACCACACGCAACCAACTATTTGATTCAACTTGAAAGTGAAATGTCGGTTTAAAGCAACAACAAAAAAGGCTCTAGAGACCTAAATTGCATGTATTCCACCGTCCGATGTCTGAAAACTTTTCGATACTATAATTTCTGGTGTCAAACCTTCAGGTTTATGCATTACTTTCAAAAAACTGTATGCTCCTGTGGAAGTGTAATCATGAAAATTCATCCGCAAGGGTCTCTTCTTATGGGCAGTTAGGAAATATTTCGCGGGTAGAAGGAAAATTCTTGAAGTTAACCGCCTTTTCTTCGGTCTACCGGTTGCTTAAGTTCATTTCCTCTTAAAAGAAACGAACTTTTGAAGAGATCACCTTTGGTAGACTCTTACAGTTGACCTGTTCAGAGCAAAACCTGTACAAGGGCTAACTTTTCTGAATAGCTTGGTCAAAGAAGCGACTAACGGGGGCCCCTTCAAAACCAGTTCTCTTCTATAGGGTATCCAACGATGGAATTTTCAA